ATAAATTCCCAGTAGGCGGCTATATTCCCATAAAATATATTCCCAGTAGGCGGTTATATTCCCATAAAATTATCTATCTCTAAGAGGAGTAGGCCTATCTAATGGTAATAAGCTCTCGACCTCGATACGGGACGTCATAACAGGCAGATACGCCTCTTCACGCCCAAAATCAAACCTTGAAAGCTAACTGATAAGTCCGATTCGAACTACCCTCCTTTGTCGGTTGATCCTGGCTGTTTCTGGCTCTCGATGTGTTATACGAGCAAGAACACGATAAACGGACCTACCTACCACTCCACTCGATCGAGCCCCACACTCGAAAATTGCACAGAAGTTGAACTGAAAGTCGTCCCTTTCAGTCCTGAAATCTATATAATAATAGCCGACGTGTGTCCGTTCTGTCCGCCGGAGGCCTGCACGGGTCGACTTTTCCTCACCTGACCCGACCCGACCGGCCCGATTCTAGTAGTGACCCCCTCCTGACCCGAAACTCGATCGCAAGACCGCGCATTACGGACCAGGGGCCGTATTCTATTAAAATCTTAAACTTAGTGTAAGCAAATTGCTCAACCTCGGCCATGCATTTGAACGGGGCAAATACCAGCTAAGCAACTTGCTAGGAGGAAAATCGCACTTAAGAACGTAATAGAATACGGCCCCCGATCCGTGGGGTTGTATGGGGCCGGCCCGCGGTCCACTTAGGAGTTTCGGAGCCTGAGGTTTCCGGGTGCGTCTCTTTTCTAAGAGGCTCTGCTGACGCTTCCAGCATCCCGTGACGTCACATTCGTACTGGGCTGTTCAGCACGCTCGAAGTACACTGCGTTCCGCTGACAGCTGCTTGCCCGAGGGCGACGTCAATCAATGACGTGATCGCGTCGAGTGCTGACGGAAAGAGGTATCTTTTTTTGCCAGCAGATGTAAGCAGCTGGAGAAAAAGACCCCTCTAATAAGAGCACCGACCGGAAACATGATTGCCAACCGAGCTGCAAGTCGAGTCGGTCAAAGAGATGATCCGCATCTAAGCATGGCTCAAAATCATACCCTTCATCAAATACTCGGGTGTTTGAAATTCGAACGTCATCTCTTAAGAATTCTATTATGAGAGAACTCACTGAAAATCTATATATCGGAAAATTAGGAGTCTCTGAGGATGGGAAGCATCTCCCCTCCTTCACCTGATACCCGAGAGTTCCAAATTCGTAGGGTGTGTCTCATTTGAATATTATGAAACGGAACCCCCTAACATTTGGCATAGAGTGAATTTGGGGGGGGGGAGGGATGACAAGATGCAGCCAATATTTAAAATTCCAGCAGTGTGTTTCATTTGAACGGTATGGAGCAGAAGTCGATTAACCTCAATTAGGAAGACGTGAATGTTTCACGAGTAGCAGCTGGTAAAAATATATAAATGATTTTAAAAGGAATTCTCATTCGACCGTCCACGATGAATCGTCATCGACCACAAAAATACAAATTCCAGAAGAGGTCACAGAGACTCAGAAGTCCCGCTAGGCCTCGAGGCTTCACATTCCTATATGATCTTGCAAAATATGCGGGGGGAAAAGTGGGACTCCTAAGTCCTACCGGAACCGAAGGGGTTAAAGATCGCCGGCGTGAGCCACACTGGACATGTTCGTCATGAAATACAGCGGAGGCACGCCAGCTGTTGGGGCTGTACCGGGTAGTGACGTCACGTTAGAACACTCCATGCCTGCTCCATGCGCTCAAGTACCATATCTCATTCCCCGAATTGGAATCTCGCTATGGGCGTTACTACCCATCCATATCTCGCGTACTCACATCGGAGTCTATGATAGCGGCACATTCACATTTATTATTCCCATATTCGAGAGATAATCATGGAAGCCCATAACATGAACGAGCGAACAACGATGTCACTACAAGTGATATGACTCTTCAAAATCGCTCGAGAATAAAAAACTTTAAAGGCTAAGAGAATACGTAAACTGGGGGAATGCTTTATACAATAGAAGTATGATTGTTCGCAGAACTCTGGTGCACACTACCATAAATACCTCTTATTACAGAATGTACATGTCCCATATCGGTACCATAAGAAATGTGGCATTAATCGCAGCCTTGCAATAGACCCTCATGCTAATTTAGGAAGGAGAAAATTGCTGTCTGTTCGAGTCTTCTCGTTGCAGCTACAAAGACTGGTTCTCAGACGTTCAGAAAGTTTGCTTCTCATTCAGTTGTAAAAGCGGCAGCGCTCAAAGTGAATCGTGAGCGATTTTGAAGATTCGACTAGGCGAAAGCGTGAGTACCAGGACGATATAAATTATAATATGATTTGAATTATGCGAATGAGTTTTACAGGTTAGCTCCATAGAAATACAGCTCCTTCCTTCTCGAGAAATAATCCAATCGTTCCGACGTAAATTCGAGGCGTTTAATGGATGTTTAAAAGTCGTATGGGAAAAAGCATGCTCGAAAGAATTTTGGGTGAGGCAAGGTATCCCTTCGTCATACGTTTTTTCTCACATCTTACCTACTTCCAATTTCTTCCTACCATCACCAGGAACATATCTTAGAAAATTATCATAGGAGATCATCCTGATCGTGGAAGTTGATTCTGACCCATTCTTGGACAGAGCAATCGATCAGGAAACTGAGCGATTTGAATCCCCGACGGTACTGACATAAAAGACGCGCGATCTCTTGCGAAAATACTCTGAAATGATCCAACTCGACGGAACATAAACACGACAGCCGTGTTTGTCGTCTGCATGACTCGTCGTGTGCTCTCAGCGAAAGGCTATGGCTCGAATACACAAACTTCCTTTAGTTAACGGTCCTTTAAGAATACATGGGTATGAGGAAAAAGCAGTTTAGCTTAAAGGCCCCTTCATCTCCCCTAAATGAGGTTTGTGCATTTGGACTTTAAACTCCATTTAGGACAAACACCGGAAGGTAGAGTCGGACGGTCGATCCGTTTTCTTGACCTTAGGTCTACCCTTCGTCCAGTCCGACCTTCACTCCTGGAGTCCCTTCCCCTTTTCGCATCGACTCCCGAGAGATCCCGCCGAAAGTCATGCGTAGGTGATGAGGGGTGTCCGTGATAACTCGTTTTAAATGTTCGCATGCACGGTAGTGACGTGTCACGGGTACATAACCTCATCCAGGTCGTGTTATTTACGTCATCGTTCATGCATGCGCTGTCTACCGGACTACTCTTCAACCAGCAGGTGGCGATGGTAGATAAATAAAGAACCATAAATCGCGGGGGGAAATCGACCAGACACGCGCTATCATGCGGTCATAGGCGCCGAACCCATGGGGGTAAAGGGGCACGTGCCCCCCAACAATGTTATTGGGGGGGCAATGCCCCCAGAGAATGGCCAAAGTACTGAACAACAAAAGTATGGCACATGGGACATGGGAAACAAAATGCTGTTTCACGAAAAATATGAAATATTTTTCCTATCTGTTTAGAGCTCCAACTGAGAGACCCGTCACCACGTAAGGGTATGGGCTGAAGGGCGAGGACCCTTGGTCCTCTCCATACCCAGCATGCGTAGGGCTACTATCAATATTATCAAGACAAGGGGGTAGATGCCGGCTTTTTTTTTTTTTCAAGTGAGAGTGTGATTGCCCGAAAAAGTCGTACTGTCTTAATACCGGGCGAGACAAAAAAAAAAAAACGCGCCACTCTGAGATTCATTGGAGTTCATGAGATAGAAGATAGCACAATTATTTTATTTTCTTTTTTTGCAACGACTTCTACGTATCCTTGAAACGTCTTAAAATTCTTGTTCGTTTTTTTCCGGCCGTTTTAGCATAGGAGCGAAAACGCGAAGGCGACTCGAATTTTATTTTTGCGCTAGGAAACCTATCAGCCAAAGAGTAGTCTGTATGCGTGGCGCGCACGGCAAATCTAGGGCCAGAGCTCCTCCATCTCCCCATGGAAATGCTGCTCTTTACGAAAGGATGGAGTAGGCAGAATTTTCTAAGAATTTTAAGGTAAAGGATGAAAGAAATGTAAGCCTATTGAGAGATTCACAAGCTGCAAGGAACCGGTTTATCTGAGAGGAAGCGAAGCAACGGAAGACTAAAATTAGTCGGAACTGAAGGAAACTGCGTTCATGTAGAAGTCATAATTTCAAGATGATAATCCTGGGATGCAAAAATTATTAAATGCAAATTGCTAGACGGGGGGACGAGTCAGAGATCTGCTTAGAGAGTTATGAAGTGCAGAGGAAAAAATCCTGAGAATAAATGTCATTCCACATGAGTGTGGCAGGTCCACCCATCAGCGTCTGGGTGCGATTGCAAAATTTAATTTCAGCTGCATTTGTAAAATCACCATTGTACTAAAACGGTTGGAGATAACAAGCAAACAATTTTTAAATGCTCACAGGATGCGTAGAGGTGTATATGAAAGGAATTTCATAGTTCTAGCTACTGTTTCAGAGATGCCACAAAATTTCTAAGAGCGACGTGTTTTTTTTTTCTCCCTCGGTATAATCAGGATGCGAAAGGCTGAACACGCCACATATTAGGACTGGAGTCGCAGATGTGCTGTGGTTTCCACTTGGAAATGAACGCCCGACTTGACATGAGCACTATTGGCCATTATTGAAAGTGCCGAAATGCTGGCCAGCAGCCTTTTGCCGGTCAAACTGGGTAATTAAACCAGCCTGGGCTGAGGGTTAGGCTACAATATGTTGCAGCATGGTGCTTCTTAAGTTACCATGGTGGAATCAACTCTAAAAGGATCCAGGCAAAGGAATAGTACACAGTTTAACTAGACTGGGGAATCCCAGGCATACACACCTCAGTTTAAATGCATTCCAATATATATGGACTGCTTTCCCAACTCAGTTTCATGCAACTGCATTCCTTCTACATCAATGTAGCCAGCAGAATACAAGAACTATTTAAAGATCCTCAGCACAGCCAGTCAAAACGGGCACAGTGAATAGGACTCCAGTGCAAAATGCCAGACTGCTCAACAGTCAATCCAATAATGGAAAAGATATGACAACATCTGGATTTTTACTAACAGCCCAACATGTCAAAATGGAAATGCATCAGTCACACAGAGACCTCCAAGCTTATCATCACCATCATGACAAAGAGGAAAGAAAAAGCCAAAAGCAATTGACAATGAGAAGATCTGTAGCCAGTTCGATTCTGTTTCCTGTAGACAAGCACATCTTTGCAATAAATACATCCCTCTGTTAGGTTCTTGGTTGAATGGAATGGAAGAAGATTGCTGGCCTCAAATTTTCCAGAGTTCAATTTGGAGTCACTCCCGATGAACCAGGACAAAGATTCCAAGGCAGGCCAAGATCAAATACTATAAATGGAACAAGAGAATATTAAGTGCATGCATACAGGACTGACATGAAAGAATGAAGAGATGAAAATCACCCACCTTGAGTTTGGGATAATCATTCATCAAGATAGTGACAATTCCAACATATGGAAGGAATCCTTTGGCCCTCCCAACCATGTCTTTCCGGCTGAGCCACAACTGACCTGGGGCATAGAGTCCTCTGTCATCCACATTGTTGTTATCACCCTTAGTCAGAAATTTTGCAGTCCCATTTTTCCTGCAATGTCAAGAATGCAATATATAATAACTGACATGCTCATTTAAGCCAGAAGCTTTGTTTATAAAAGAACACTAATGCAGACTTTTCATGAAGTTTGATGACTCGGTGAACAATTGGGATGTCTCGACCTTCGATCTTGAAGACAACGATATCACCAACTCGAACTGGGTCTTCTTGATAGTTAGTGAGAAACAGAAGATCTCCTCGATGGAAGGCAGGCTCCATGCTTCCACTGAAACAAGATAAAGAGATGAACATTCGCCAGATGAAAAACATGGAATTATTTTTTGCATAAATTTAGGGGGAAAAGCAAAAGATATTCATAGCAAAAATCTAACCAGGAAGAAACAGACTCATCTTTATGCACATGAGGGAATTCTGTCTTCATACAGGTAGTGTACTAGTCATGTATAATGTTAATGCTAGAATGTACATGAGTGATTCCAGCCCCTCTCTCTTCCTCTTGTAGATTCAATTGGTCACAGTAGCTTTTCTTCCTTCCTAGCATGGGGCCATAGTGCCTGCTACTAGTGGTTTCTCCACTATGTTAGCATTGGGTATAGTCTATCTGGTCCAACTTTGCATTGCCTATTTTATGGAAGCTCATTAATCTTGTGCTGTCACCAGCTAGTCAAAATGTTGGAAAGGGGCTGGAGGCTATCAGTGGCAGATCTAGGAGTTCATGGCACTTATCAGGCACCTCATCAAGATTTCAAAAATTATTTTTGCATGATGCCTGCCCTCTCCCCCCAGGAGTGGTATGCAACTGTCTGCTGGCAGGGTCAAAAGCGATGTCATCCTCTTCCCTCAGAGGAATGGAAGACATATGACATTTAATGACCCCTTTGAGGATTAAAAGTACAGCAAGGTTGGACCAGATAGACTATAAATTAATATCTTATTATGTCTCAGGTGTAATAACTCTGACTCCTTTCCTGTTAGTCTCACCATTAACTCTTTCTGAAGGTGCTTGACTGCTACAACTTAGCAAGTGTGTACTACTTAATCACTGATTCTCCCCTTGCCAAATCGCAAAACAAATGCATTTTACTTGTGACACAATCCAAGCCATTATCTTTATCATCATTTTAGTGTGAACAGTGTGTCTGATTCAAAAAGGTTTTTTTTCTGCATTTCTACATATTTTTATGTCTGTCAAGGAAATGAAATTTTTTTTTAAGGAAGTAGAAATAAGGAAGAACTTACCTCAGAACAACAACTATGGGACTCTCACTTCCAGTTACAACCATCAAGCCTTTCCAGATCATCAGAGCAGAAGACACAATCATCCCAAAGTTCAAGAACTGGTACAGGACCTATGGCACAAATATACATATTGAAAAATGCATCCTACATAGATAGATAACTTTACCATTCCAAGCATAAATATGCCATCCTCCTGCATGCATTCTAGTCTTGAAATGTACTTCCTCCCCATAGGAATAGCACAGACACCTTTCTTCTATAATCTTAGTATGCAGAAGGGGCAGATCATTTGGTAGCTTTGCATAATAAAGGCCTACTAAATCTCTAAGACAACCTCACAGAAAGTCTGCACCTTCCCATGTACAACCAACCACCTTATGATTGGTGTGCTGGATGTACGACAAGGATTGGTGCAGAGTCTACTACTTTGTCTCAAATCAATCCTGAATATTTTTACCAACTTTCACTAACCAGGCAACATTTTTTCCTCCTTCACCCTCCCTAGGTCCAAAATTACTGGTCCTTCATGGATAGAGAAAGATGTGTCAAGCTGTTTTACAATGGGCATTACAGATTTGTATGTGGGAGGGGGAGAGACAAACTTGCTAAAGGGGGGGGACTTCTTTTTTGTTTCGTTAGCCAAGCAATTTTCTTTTCCCCCACCAAATTACAAAATGTGTTCACCATTGGTGAGTAAGAATTTTAGCAGCTTCCTTATAAACATATATAGGAAATGTTATTTTCATCTAAATGCTGGAATATTGAGAGCAAATACGAACTAAAATTATTTCTATAACTGGCTCCAAAGAAAGTAATAATATTATTATTACTAAAATAAAGTGTTAAAGCTTCATACATTTCTTTTGCCACCTTTGCCTTTAAAGTTTATCCTTCAAACATATATATTCAACTTTAACATTGCTGACAGTATGATAATTACTATCACTTCTGTCTTGCTCCCCATCATCTTTCTGGGAAAAAATTTTCCAAATGCCTTTATTCAAAGTTCCATGAACCACCTGATAGATTTTTCAAGGTCCATTCTGTTTCCTCCTTCTATACTTTCTTGTCACTTGTTCCATAAAATGTAATTCACCCCAGATGAACTTATAAACTACCTTCTACTATCATGGTATATCTGTACCACTTACACAGGTGACTTCCTGTGAACATGACTTGGTGTCACGATTCTAGCCTAGGTTGTCATCCTCCCAAAATGTAGACTACTGCACCAAGAATGCATCTGTTTCATGAAGAAGGATGATCCCATTTCGCTGCTCGACGGAAGACCCATAAAACAAGGCATAATGGATGCCTTACAAGTGGTGTGCTAACTCCTAAGTCATCATAGGCTTAACATTCAAAACTTCAGTAAGTGGTCTACAAATTAACAAGACAAATGACTAACCTGGCGCTTGTTCATGCGCTTCAAATCGTCGAACATGTCAAGCATTTTGACTTGTTTTCACGCCAAAGACTTGATATAGAGAATGGGCCCTAACGTTAGGGGAGTCCAGGGCCTACGGTAGGCTAGAAGTCCGGTAAGCTAAGTGTGATCACAAACTGGTAACCATGCGATGAATAAGTGGCCGACTGCAATTGACAAACGAAGTTGGGCCTAAATGCCAATGCCTCTGCCACGGCATATGATACGAGAAACACTTGGAAGGCGTCCTCGAGGTGGTAGTTGTGACTTGTAACTGCCCTTCGTTAGAATGGAGATCCGAATCTGCTTTGAGAATGAAAAAGAGATGGACCTGCAATATTACTGCTTGAAACCTGACACATTAGAGGTGAAACAACAATAAATGTGAGCGAAGATTGAGGAAAGAGAAGGGATGCTCACCGGGGAGACTCACATGCATGGAGCCATGCTACCACGGGGACACGTGTACTTGGTGACGTCATCAGCATCGTCTACGCTTCGCCGGATCGCGCCTTCCCTTGCGCATGCGACCAGATGGACTCAGCATCTCGTCACACCCTGACATCTATCATCAGAAAGTAAATGTGGACTTACGATGATTTCCGCAAGAGTGTACTAAATTTAGGCACCACCAGAAGAACCTACGAGGAAGAGGTGAAGACATCTGGTTCAAGTTATAACGGCAGCAGCGTCGCTTGCGCATGCTTTCTTTGTGCGAATGAAAATCACCTTGGCGACAGAAATGAGGGCAGATTAAATACCTTCTCACGTTAACCTCGGCAAAGAATTCGTGTGCTATGCGATCAAGAGGCCCAATAAATCAAGCATTTTTTTATTATCTCGACGGATATGAAGAGCGAGCCGATAGACAGAGAGAGAGAGAGTAGCAGGATACAACGAGATAAACTTGTCTCCTCTCGGTCGCCATGTCGAAGAGAGAGGTGACGACTCCATGCAACGCCCCTTGTGTTCACTATCGTGAAGAGTGTGTTAAACGTGTGACATGCTCTCGAGTGTGAGACGGGGGACCTCCGGCACGTAATAACCCGAGGAATCGACCACACACAAAAAGGCACCATGGCTCAAGTGAAGGTGAGGTTAAGCAGTGTTCCTTTCAAGGTCTTTATCGTCTACACTTGGCCACGGATCATCGCCTCTTGACCTTCCCCGTTCCACACGATCCGATGCCCGTGGGGCCATGTGATACGTACCCCACTCCGGTTAGGATCATCGTAAGACCGATCGTTAGACGAGGAAGAAGTCGCAGCAGTCGCATAGCACGCGAACGCGATTTACGGGACGCGGTTCTTCGACAGATTTTTTTTCGTCCGGGCCCCAAGGGCATTCCGCGTCGAGCACTTTCTGCCTTCTTGGAATCCTCCCTCCCCGGAGGCTAACGAGCCGTTCCTCTTTTTTTTTCTCTCATCGAAGGCTGAAGGTCGCGAGAGGAAGAAAGGTTCGTTCCCGAAGAAGCATCCATTTCTCTGGAAGTCCATGGAGATGGACGAACGAACCGAGGGGGAATCGCCGGGGGAAGACGAGAACGGACAGGATAACGAGGCCTTCTCGGATCAGCCTTTTCCCTCCCCCGCCCAGCAAAACAATCGAAACCATCACATGCCGCACCCCCAACAGCAGCAGCATCCTAAGCGTGGGAGACGGATGCAGAGACGGGAGGAGCAGACGATAAATCGCCACAGGAAGCTGTCTCGGGCGATCCGTCTTAAAGACGGGGATACCGTCCGCGCCCTCGTCATGGAATACACCAACGTGGAAGGAGACAACGGAAAGTGAGAGTTCGCTTCTTTTCTAGCTTCCGTCTCCTTCTCTCCATCCGCGCTCATTCGAACCTAAGCGATGCAGAGAGAAGAGTGATGCAGTAGGGTTAATCATCGGCGCCGACTTTTAAAATATTGAGGGGGCAAGGTCCTTAAGCCCTTTAAATAACATGATCTGAATCAGTTCTGACGACCAAGATAAGGTAGGTATAAAGACCCCTCGACACCCGACCCTACGGTTGAGTCCTTATCACCGCCCACACACCCGCCCCCCTCCCTTTTGGATTTGCGTTCCTGCGTCCTTGCCCTTCCAACCCATACTTTTAAGCGGTACAGGGAAGAATCCCCCCCCCCATTGGCACACTAAACAGTTAGGAATATAATTTTTTCCATTTATTATGTAACGCACCATTTTGTTTCATTTGTTCAGAGTGCCCTACTTTAGGAGTTCTTTCGTCAGTCGTAGGGGGGCACGTGTCCCCTTGCCCCCATAGGTTCGGCGCCTTTGGGGATGAAAGTCATGTCGAAGAGACGCCAACCCACCGATCGAGAAGCGTTAAAAAACGATACGGTCATGTGAAAGAAAATCGGAAAGCCGAATGACGTTCGGGGACGGATAGAACGAGAGAAAAATGAAGGTCGCCGTCTGGCACGAGAAAAAAGATCCGTGCACGAAGGACGCTACGCACCTGTTAGCATATCTATCGTGATTATGCGTGGCACAGGGGCTACACCTTACAGTAAACACGCTCTGCAGCTCTTATCGGCCCTTTAAATATATGACCATGTATAACGAATACTTGAGATACTTGAACCTGAGAGACGGGCGGGAGTCGAACGTGAAGAGGAAGAGAGGGGAGAGAGGAGAAGGGGGGAAAAGAAATGTTAACTACATAGTGTTAAAAAAAAACTGCCAAATCATTTTCGCTAATAATGACAGTACTCTTCATCAGATCGACGCAATTTTTTAAAATACTGCATGTGAGTAGAGTAAAGAAGGTAATTACCAAATTTTATTAAAATTAAGGCATTAATATCACATTCTATGCCAGTTCAAACTTGATAGGTAAAAAAGTGCCGTACAGGCCCACTTGTGTGTTCGCCTCAGCCAATGAAGCAAAAGAAAGTTTGTGCGTGCCTAAACTAACCGTAACTAAATTTTTGACCAGTTCGAAGGAAATTCATATCTGGTAATAGGCCAAAATTTTCGCTATCAGAATAGATGACGAAGGGAGCAAAACACGACCTCTGCCTCTTTGATGAGGCACGCGCAAACTTTCCTTTGCTTCATTGGCTGAGGCGAACACACAAGTGGGCCTGTACGGCACTTTTTTACCTATCAAGTTTGAACTGGCATAGAACGTGATACAATGCCTCAATTTTAATAAAATTTGGTAATTACCTTCTTTACTCTATTCATTTGCAGTACTAAAAAAAATGCGTCGATCTGATGAGTACTGTCATTACTAGCGAAAATGATTTGGCAGTTTTTTTTAAACACTGCACAATATAAACACAATATAAACATCTATTATATCGGAATCATCATTCCCTACAGTTTTTCAAAGCTATATTTGGGTTTCATTTTTATTTTTTGTTTCTCAAGTTCCGCACCTCATTTTATTGTCGCCGAGAAGCTATGACCCGAAAGCGTTGAAAATAAACAGCTCGAAGGAATGATTTTGGAGAGGTAGAATTTCCTCTTTCATAGTTTCGCCGCCCCCGTACCTGTCGTACCAGCGTTTCTATCGTAGGAGTCCCCTAATGGACAGATTAGATAAAGCCTTGGATCGATTTTTTGAGGTGCGAACCGAATCGTCTTCTCTTGCATTCTTTCGCGGAGATACAGGTACAACCTGGGAGCAGCCCTGTTCGTGGCCGTAAAGACGGGCGACCTGTCGTGCGTGAGACCGATCCTGGATAAAGTTTCCGACATCCGTTACGCGGATTCCGATGGGAACACGGCCTTGCACGTGGCCTGTGCCCAGGGATCCGCGGACATCGTGGAGAAGCTGCTGGAGAAGAAGGTGGACGTGAGTCGCGAGAACAAGCAGAAGATGAGGCCGTTGACCCTGGCGACCCAGGGAAGCCACACCGACGTCGTCCGGGCGATCTTGACCCACAGGGTCCCCAAACCCGAAGACATCGACGACGCCCTCACCCTCGCCGCCGCCAAGGGTCATTGCCAGATCGTGAAGGTCTTGATGGAATCCGGATTCGGCACGTCGAAGGGGATCAACTCGGCCATGGTGAACACGGCCGAGCACGGGCATCCGGAATGCCTGGAACTCCTTCTCGCCCATCCCGGGATCGATTTGAATTTCCGATCGAATCAAAAGACGGCCCTTCACAAGTGCATTTTGAGGAGCGGGGACATGCGATGCCTGCAGCTCCTATTGGATCGTGGAGCCGATCCCAACGTCCAGGATTCCCTGGGTGCCACGCCCACCTATTACATGGTCTTTCGCGATGGCGAACGGAACGACGAAGGCTTGGAGCTGTTGATCAAACACCACGCAGACGTGGACATCGGGATCAAGGACAAGGACCTGAAGCCGTTGCACGCTGCGGCCGGGCTCCAGGATCCCCGATGCCTGCAGATACTCCTGGATCAATACGGGGACGACGGAGTGAACGCGAAGACGAGTGAAGGGAGGAACTGCCTGCATTGCGCCGCCATGGAAGGCCGCGTGGAAAACGTCCGAGTCATCCTGTCGGAGCCTCTCTTCCGGATCGACGACAAGGACGAGAAGGGGAACACCGCCCTGCATCTGGCCGCCTACGAGGGACACGCAGACATCGTCAAGGAACTGCTCGCTAAATCCGCCATCTGGACGGAAGCCAACGTCGACGGGAACACGCCGATCCACTTAGCGGCCCAGTCCACTGACCTGGAGGTGCTCCGCTTACTGTTCGATCGCGCGAGGAACAGCGGGGCCGCCGAGGCCGTGAACCACGGGATCGATTTCACGGACCAAGGCGCGGAGGAGTACCACGACCCGAGCAGCGGGAGCGGCATCATCCAAGCTCTGCTCAGAGCGGCGAACAACGAAGGGGAGACGCCCGTGCATCTGGCTGCCAAGAGCGGCGGAGGGGATGCGGTGCACTTCCTCGTGGAACACGGTGGGAGCATCACGACCAGGGATGCCTCGGGTCGGACTCCGATGTCCATCATGATACAGAAGACACCGGGGATCATCACCAGACTGCTCGACCGGGGGATCCAGTCGAGGAACGATCCGGATTCCAAGCTCTTGGAGGTCCACTTCGATTTCTCCATCTTTCGGGTGGAAGAGGATGCCAACCAAGAGTCTCACACCCACTTCTGGGACTTCGGTCGCCCGGCCTCGAAAGCCTCTTCGGTGGCGAGGACGCTGAGGACGGATACGGATAACGTGAAGGAATTCGTCGACGGCGGGAGGAGCGATTTCCTGGATCATCCCTTATGTCTCATCTTCACTATGATGAAATGGTATCGGTACCGTCGCATCTGGCTCCTTCAGCTCGTTCTCTACGTCCTCTTCGTCCTTTCCTTGACCTCCTACGAATGCATCTTCTACGGGTACCTCACCTATGAGGCTCTGGGGAACGGTAGCGGGCTCAAGTGCGAATTAAACGACACGGAATTTGACGAGAAGAGCGTGGCTTGTACCTTCTACGATGTCAGTTTGGTTTTCCTCTACATCTTCACCATCTTGATCCTCATCCAAGAGATCATGCAGATCGGATTCATCAAGGCACGGTACTTCCTGCAATGGGAGAATTATCTGCAACTGGGTCTCATGGTTCTGGTTATCCTCACGAGTCCCTATCCCAGCGCGTCCGAGAGTTATCACGTATTCCAGCATCATCTGAGCGCCATCATCGTCCTCTTCGCCTGGATCCAGCTCATGATCATCATCGGGAGGAGCCCCGTCTTGGGGATATATATCACGCTCTTCCGGAAGATGGCCAAGATCTTCATCAAGTTCATCCTCATCTACATCTGGGTCATCGTGGGATCTTCCCTCAGCTTCTTCATCCTCTTCCGCGGCGCCTCCGGCTTCGATAACGATTACAATCCGTTCGACAATCCCCTGAAGAGCTTCGCCAAGAGTATGATCATGTTGACGGGGGAATTCGACTACGTGTCGTCCTTTTCGGCCGAAATCCTCTATCCGTACACGACACACATCCTCTATTTGGCCTTCGTCCTGCTCGTCTCCTTGATCCTGGGGAATCTCCTCGTCGCCCTGGCCGTCAACGACTTGAACAAGATCCAAAAGGAGGCCGACGTGAAGAAAGTGGCCAACATGTTGGAGCTCATCTCCTACATCGAATACCTGATCCCGTACAAGAGACTGCTGTTCCTCCCGACGGAGCAGGATCCGGAATTCGTCAAGATGCTGCCGAACGACCCGGAGACGCACACGAAAGTGTTCATCCGATTCAGGTCCAGGTTCCGGCTTCCGACGATGTCGTCGGAGAAGGCGATGACCGTGGACCCCGAGACCCGAACCAAGATCCAGGGAATCGTTAAAGCGCGACGAAAGAAGCAAGAGCGCCGGATCAGCCGCGGGTACCTCTACCCCCACGAGTCGGTGAGACTGAAGCGACTGAGCTTCGTGACGGGCCCCACCCCCGACCAAGACGGAGCCAAGCGAAACTCCCGGTACGTCTCGCAGCTGAACCCGATCGCAGAGGACCAACCGGACGGAGCCACCACTCGCGCCTCCTTCTCCACCGGCGCCGTCGACGTGGACCGGAGGCTGAACGCCCTCGAGCTCGGCATGGAACGATGTCTCGCGAGACTCGACGAACTGCTTCGCATCTCCTATACCAAAAATTGGGGCAGTATCGAGTCCCTCTCCAGTAGTATTGCCTGATATATCATTCCTCTATTTTGCTGGTCCATATTACCTTTTATATAAAGAGTATATCATTAACGTCGTGCGTTCTCTTATTGCAGATTCTTGCAGATCGTCCGTGAGACACGATCGAGATAACCCTTTCGTGCCTGAATGGAATATTTTTGTAGATACGACGACGTTTAAGAAGTACTGACATGCTCTACTTAAAAAATAAGTTAAAATTAAAGTTTACAGTTACATTATTAAAATATAAAATAATATCATGCAAGTTCATTAGTTCTGTGAGCAATCGAGTAATTTCCACGCTGTTTCTCGACATTTTTTGCTACTTTTCGTGATCTAACGTGCAAAAACCTAGATAGCAAAAGATTTCCTGAAAATAGCTAATTCTTGAAATTTCCAAAAACCTCAAAGGTTTATATTATAAATTGCCCTGGATGCACACAGAAGCACAAATAACACGTCGTAAAGAAATCAGATACCTTGCGTTGCTCCTGTGAGGCTGACATGGCTGTGACTCGGGAAAAGTTCATATGCGAGACGAGGAGAATAATTGAACTAAGCGGTTCGAAATGGAATCGCTGGGCATGAAAGGATTAAGGATTTGCCGGCCTTGCATCGATGTGCATCGAGAGTCATTTATTTCGGCTTTTCGAGGGAAAAAAAGGCGGAGGCGGAGCAGGAAAAGAAAACTTGCGCAACGATGCGACGAATTAAAGCCCGCAGCGATCCATCAAATGAGGAAAAACCAGGTGAAGAGGCCACGCGAAGGTGCGGACGGGAGAAGTGAAAGTGCGACGCGGCGGGTCGACGACGACGGAACGAAATCCCGAGCGATAGAAACGGCACGGAACCGGCACGGAACCGGCACGGAACGAGTGGCATCCACGCCTTCTTTCCGTTCGTCGGCGAGGCGACGATGATCCGAGATCATCGTTGGAAGGGGGGAAGCGGTTAACGATGGGGCCGGAGGGGAAATGCGACGACGAGCGAGTGGACGGAACGATCACCGAGGTTCAAGGACGAACTCGTTCCAGAACCGAGTACCAAATAGGTACCGGGCGGAGGAACTCTTCTCTCTTCCTTGGAGTTCCAGCCATGCGTGAATGCGTGATCCACCCGTATCGCGAGTTGCGGGTGGATTCAGAATTCTCCATTTCTTTCTTCCTTTCCTTTCGATCGTGGGCGATGGAAGAAGGCAATGCAACGTACTCTTTGCCTCCACTTTTACTTCTACGTTTGGTTTCGGAAAGAGCGACGGACTCCGCGCGTCTCCGAGAAACGCACGACACCGTCGACGCGACGCACCGAAGCACAAACCGCAGAGCGAAGAACCGGACTATCGTCTTTCCGATTTCCATATTCATTTTTTTCGTCGTGCTCCATCGGTTACGTTCATCTACCGACGGGATTTCATCGCCCGAGAAAAGGGTTCATTTCTCGCGAATAAATGAACCCTCTGTAGAGAGGAAATAGGAACGCAAGGGTACGTGCACATTGCATGAGCCACGATTTCTTCATAAACTTGACGAGACTCAGTTTCTCACAACTTTAAGCCCCTCTTTCCGCCTTTCCGCTTTCCCACCATCCCAGCATCTCGCCATCTCGCCATCCCGCCTTCCCACCATCCCAGCATCTTACCTTCCCACCTTCCCACCTCCCCCTCCCCCGAAAAAACTGGTATCGTTTGCCTGTCCTGTGCAATCCTGCACATGCTTCCATACTTTCGAATAAAATCGAAAAGTAAATCCGGGAACGACCGTCCGAAGTCTCAACGCACGAAGATGGAAAAGAAGCGAAAAGCACTCCACCTCGCAAAGCAACTCTCGAGTGCATTCGTACGAGACCGCAGGAACAGCAACGGAGGAAAGCGAAGAGGTACCGCGCACCCGAACGCAGCCCTCCATCGCGAATTCCCTCCTCGACCCTCTTCGACCTCACCCGTGCACACGTCCGAGCGGGCTCACACGGACACGGGAGTGGACTCCGACGAAACGGCCGATCTCGCCCCCGATCGTTTTCGACTCGACCGTCGACGAAGACCGACCCGCCTCGCCCCCGTGCGGATGCGGAGGGAGGAACGCGTCACGACGAAGTGCATTCCCCTCCGGGCGACCCCCTCCGGACGGCCCCCTCCCGTGCGGAATCACGTCTCGGATTACGTCATCGTTCCACATCACATGCTGGATGATGGAAGATGGGAAACTTTCCAAGGCCGAGAGACTCGACGGACGAAAAAAAAAAAGATCCGGAACGTTTTATGGGACTCGAACCCCACAAAGCGCCACCGACGGCAGATTGTATGCACGCCGTTTAAGTAAAACATCTCGAAAAGATGCTAATAAGTCGGCGCGTGCGGCGGCTTCGATCTGTCGAAGCATTTCATTCGTTTCTAGGAGGAAGAAATGCAGAAGCAGACGACGACGGTGAAGGTTGAAAACGCAATAGACGGAGCCGCGATGAGAATTTCCTATCGGGAACGGCCTTGAAACCCCCAGACACGGCAGTCCTCATCGAGTCTAATCGCCATCCTCACCGCGTCTAATCGCCATCCTCACCGCCTCCATCTTCGTCGCACGGCGAGAGCAAGCGCGCGAGACCGGATGGAGGACGAAAGGATGAAGACCGAGGAGTCAATCAGTCTCTCGTCAGTCGCTCCCGGGCATTCGCTGTGTGAAGACGACGACGACGGCGCTTCTCCCGGTCGCTTCGAGCGTCGACTCTCGTGTCCCAGCCGTCCGTTCGATATCGAATATCGATCGTGGTATATTCCACGTCGAGTGAACATCTTCACGCGGGCGCGAGGTCGTTTTTCCGCTCGCCGTTTCGGAGCCCACTGCTGTCGTCGCTCTGGGTTTCGACGATTTCGAATAGCCGACGGTAAAGCAGGCGAGAAACTTCCTCGTTTTATAAGAAAGCATCAGGGAGCAAAGGCATCACCTCAAATTATCACTTGTACGAGAGGAATTGCATATTCTTCCCCATTGCGCGATATCAAGGCAGAATGGTTCTTCGGTTTCTCAGCGGGGCAGATCTCATCGGATCGACTGATCTGCAGATAAGGGTTGGGGGAGGGGGAGGAGAGGGGGGGGGGGGGGGGGGTGGATCCGGAATGAACGCGACACCGATGGATTAGATTAGAAGACCCTAGGCGATTCGGTTTGCCCTCTTCAGACTCCCATTTTCGTCGACATGAAAGTTACGCCCCGCACTTCTCTCGTGAAAGCGAAGCGGAATGGGTTGGAGTGCTCGCCGGGTCGTGTCATTTCATCACCGATTTCGCCAGCGCACATCGACCGCGGATATCATGACATTTTTCCATCATCTCGATGCTGCAAGGTGCGAATCGCACCTCTTGCGACACGGTGTCGAAGCCGGAAGGCGACGGCCGAGACGAGGAACCCGCGCTCCGACGCCAAAACCGAAAGGCCGAGAAGCCGCATCATTCACAAAGGTTCGAAGCGATCCCCGAGGTCACGATGAAGTACCCCCCCCCCCCCCCCCCCCCCCCCCCCCCGCCCC